TTTTATAACCTAAATTATTTACCCTTCTAAGCATTTCAGGCTTTTTTGTAAAATAATAAGAACTCGTATTGAGCATCTACTCTTGTGCTTAACCTTAAAACTATCATGAATCTTCTTGTAGAATTTTATTATACAAAAGGAAATAGTTTTTTTCGTTAGAGATTAAGCAATATGAAAAAATGTTGTTAAAGTATCTTACATAAGAGTCACGACATATGGATTTTTTATATGCGCGCGAAACTTTCATTTTTTAACAATGAATTCCTTAGGAAATTGATCAATATGACCATTTTTATTAAAGTATTAAACACTGTTACAACTGTTGTAAAATCGTTCTTTTTACCTATTAACTGTGATTATTTGAGATTATACTTCTTTTATTGACAGCCTAAATCTTACGCTTATATACATAATTGATAGGTGGATTCTGCAAAATTATCTAAATTAGATTATAGGTCATACCTTGATGCACATGTTCTTTCGTCTTTAATTATTTTTTATTTGTCCATCTGCCTAAAAGAACTTGGCCAACAAAAAAGGGTGCAAATGTTTCTGCAAAATAGATAGACCAAGTGAGATTTGCCGTTACCTACTATTTCTGAAAATTTATTCTTCACATTTAAAATGAATTTAATCAGCGGGAAATTCGAATTAATTATGGCTAAAGACAATCAAGATTAATATTTATTTCTTGTTGAATATTCTTCAGGAAGTTAGGTCATAGGTCGACTATAACATTAAAGTTCGCTTAGGCGAAGTTTATATGAGAAGATTTCAAAAAAGAAATCATTATTGAATTAGATTTTTTGAAGTAGTATTCTCTTTATTGGTATATTGGGGTTTACCTTAATGATTAAGGATGTCGCAGAAAATTCTGAGATCAAGAATTTTTATTATATCATGTTAATGCTGAGAAATTTTAAAGGCACTTTTGACGCGTGAGTCATTCTGTTGTCCTTTTCCTAAACGTCGCAAATAAAATGCTGAATTCTACTCCCAGCTAAATTTATAATCTTAAAGTAACAATTTACTTATTTCAAGGATTAAATTTCTATTTCTCAAAACGTTTAGTAGAGATACAGATCCCACTGTAGGAAGCTTTCGAATGATCCCTTAACTTCTATTAATCATCTTCCTTCATTTATTACTTAGTCGTGGGCGTTTCTTGAATACTTGTTGTGCAGATAAATTGTAATGGTTAATCAAAAGTATGCTGTCAAATTGCTCCAATCATATACACCTTTAAACTTTACATACAAATGAGCCTTAAAAATAATATGGATTCTTTTAAGAAACAATAATGAAATACATTTTCTTAGAAAATTATCTGAAATGTAAACCAATCTTAAAAGATCAAATTATACTCTAATTTATATGCAATAATAAATTTTAATAAGAGTTTTTCAGCATCAAATTTGCTAAGGAATAGCCGCATGCAGTTATAAAGACTTTAAAGCATTATCGATATATTTCGTGTTTATCGCCTATTTTCATAAATTCATTTCTAATATACCTCATTCTTTTTCTGTTATACTCCACCAAAGTCGGCACCAGAGGGGATGATGCCACCGTTGGGCTACAACACGGTCGCCGGTACTGGAGCTTGTATACCTTTAAACGGCACAGTGCTTTTCCCGGCCAGTATCTTTAAACGAAATAGCCTTACCTCAGCTGATCGAGACTCAGGCAATGGCGACAGCTTGGATGTCTGCACTCCGAACGGCTTTCCGGCCCCCTCAGCAGGAGGACTACTCGTTCTTAACGGTGTTGGGCAAACACCGATTGTTCCAGGAACGGTCACCTCCTGTGGGCTTATAGTCACAGGCAACAACTATTCAGGTCCATTCTTCACTGGTTCCAACAAATCAGTTATGTTATCCTCAGCCCGTCAAGCAACGGGCAATTTAGTTGTTACGTCAGTGATTGGTGGCCGTACCCTTCATAATGAGGATGAAATTGTCTCAAGTCAATTGGAAACTCGATCAAGGGAAGATGATATAGGTGCTGAAATAGATTCTTTGAAACGGGTCAACTTTCAAAATATAAACGACAACAGTAAAATGAGTAGCTTTTCAACTGCTCAAGACAGGGTCTCATTCGGGGAAGAGGAGACGGCACAAACAATGGTTAGAAAAACTGGGAAATTAAAAGAGACTGTAGTAGATTCAGACAAGGTGGTCACATTCAGAAGAGCACCAAACGGAATTGGCTTTTTGCAAAGATAGTTTAAGATATTTTGAGATCTTCGAAGTGTTACTCTTTATGGACTACTTTGTACACATCAACGCAAATACATAGGATGAGCATGTGCAAGCATTTTTCTAGTGCTCCACAATTATGATCTTCTACATTTATTTGCTGATAACCTGATATACAATTAGAAT